CTCTTGCCGCAGTCGGCGCAGCCGAACGGCCGCTCCCTTGCCGGTCCCTTGCTGGCCGCCCCACGTAGGGGTTTGGCACAGTCCAGTTTGGGGACCGCCGTGGCTTTGAGCATCTTGGCAGTGCCGTGCGGCACGGCTTTATCCGGGCGCTTCATTTTCCGCCTGTTTGAGCCGAGGGTCTTCTCCCTCTCCGGGCTGCGGGATGAGCACGCTTCGAGCTCGTAGCTCTCCTCCGCCACTCCTTCCTCTGCCGCTTTTTCACTCACCAACCCCTGTGCTGCTGGGGATAATGGGAAAAGGAGGAAAAAAGGGGAGAACGTGGCCTTGACTGGAGCACAGATTGGCATTTGAATCAATGGAGCAGGAACAAGATTCCCCTAAAAAAAATTAGTCTAAAAAAGAGGGAGAGATGAGATGGGAGACCTGATCCCAGTTTGAACTGGGAAGGTGGTGATGCTAAGGACACCCCATTGCCCATATTTCCAATTAAAAAAAAAAAAGAAAAATAAATGCAGAGAGATCAATAACATTCTCTCACTGAAAAAAAAATTAAGGAGAGGGCTGGGGTTTGGGGAAATCCCCCTTGAAACCTGCCTGGATTCCTCCTCCCCTCTTCCCATCCCACTTGCGAGACCTTTGCTTCCCTGTCAGAGACAGGGAAAAAAAAAAAAAAAAAAAAAAAAAAAGAGTAAGGAAAAAAAGGGGAGGGGGGGATGTTCTAGAATGAAAGAGGATTTTTCGTGTTTGCTTACCAAGGGACATCAGCGTTTCGTAGCTCTCCTGCATCACGTCCCGGTACAGGGCCTTCTGCCGCGGGTCCAGCATCACCCACGGCTCCATGGTGGGGAGAGGCACGGTCAGCCGGGAAAACGAGGGTTTCTCCCTCTGTTCCTCACTTAGGACTCCTCCAAATCCTCTGTGGGGAAGAGAAATCCCTTGAAATGCAGGAATTCCCCCCACGTAGTGCTTCTTACTCGGGTTTTGATGCTTTTTCTGGGGTGCCTTGAGAAATGTTGGGTTTTTTTCCGCCTGGATTGTAGCATACGGACGGTCCCTCTGTCCAGGACTAAGCCTGAGCCTCCATGGAGCAGCTTGGGGACAGGAATGTCCCTGTTTTTTCCCCCCCATCTTCCTGACAGACCACATCCCACAACAATCTCTGCCTTCCTCCCAGCTCTCCCAGTCACCATCTGATTGGGAATCAGCCCTCCCAGGGTGATGGGGCCCCAGGAGCTGGGCTGCATGCCCTCATCCCTGGGGAGCCCTGGCTGCGCACAGGGACCAGGGCTCCCTCTCCATCCCACTTACCCACTGCCCTCTCCCCAAAGGAGCTGCTGCTCCTGGGAACATCCCCAAGGGCCCAATCCTGCGAGCTCCAACCCCGAGGCAGCTCAGGACCCGCTGCAGATCCTGAGCACATCCCTGCTCAGGATCTCTCCCTTGTTACCTGGAGTCCCCGGCTCACGACTCGCTGTCGGCCGAGCCTAGAGCCGACTCCGCAGGGCTTTCCCTCGGAGAAATGTCCTCCTTTCCCAGGCTGAGGCTGCAAGGAGCAGGGGCTGGGAGGTGGGGGGGAGGGATGCACAGACCCCCTCTTTGAACCCCGAGGACCACCAAACCTCCCGACAGCAGTGCACAATGGAGGCGATGCGATGCGGGGCACGGCTTTGCTCCGGAAGCCCAAGTCGGTATCCGGGAAAGAGGAGACGCCAAGAACAGGGCTGCTGGCAGCAGCTTTTACCCAGAGCCCTCTAGGGGTAACCCAACCCCGACTTCTCCCCCCATCCCGACCCTCCCCAGCACCTGCAGGGGGGTGCACAGGACCCCGCTATGCTCCTGCTCCATCACTCGCGTTGCCCCCCACTCTCCTCCCTTTGACCCAGCGGTTTTGGAGAGCTCCAGCCTTGCTAGAAACTCTGCCAGGGGATTGGGACAGCAGCAGCAGGGATATTTTGGGTATCGCAACCGTGGGGAAGCGTGAGAAGGTGATGGGGGGGAAGTGTCTTTCTGGGGCATCCCCCAGGTGGGAGAGGGAGACGCCAGGCTGGTTGCCCCATCAGCATCAGGGATGGGAGCTGTGGAAGCAAGAAATTTGGGGTTGTGTTGGTTGGTTTGTTTTTTTCTATTTGGAAAAGTGGCCCAAACAGTGTTTTCATCACATGGCTGGTAAAAACAGGGTGGTTTTTTTTTTTCCCCTAAAAACTCCAGGCTCGGGAGTCGTGTGCTTGCAGGTGGGAAGGAGGGGGAATTTGCACTTACCGAGTTATCTCTCCTTGTTGCTGGAGGAGGAGATCACGAAAGCCAAGGAAAACAAAACTCTGCGAACAAGAAGATAAAGGAATGCAGCAGAGGAACGAGCGAGGAGCCTGGATTTCTGCCTCCGAGAAAGCCCAGGAGATTTGCAACCCCACGGATGCTTTTCTCTGCGGTGGGTGCAGGAGGTTTGGTGGTGGTTTAATCCCTCCCTGGCTGGAAAAAGCCGGGAGCGGAGGGGAAGCAATGATTTAATTTGCTTTGGAAAGGGCGCAAGGATGGGTAATTATCCCTAAACCCTGCCCTCCCTAAGGCACGGGCATTTAACCCCTGCCTCCCCGCCGAAGGAGGGAGCGGAGCTGATTTCGGCAGCCTCCCTGCTCCTCCCGCCCCGCTCCATCCCTCCTCGGCCGGTGGCAGGGGATGGATATCCCCGAGGGATGCCGTGGGACCAAGCCCTGGTGCTGGGAGCATCCCGGGTGGCTCTGGTTGTGTTGCAGCTCGGTTGGGAATGGGAGGACACAGGAAAGGGCTGGGATCAGCTGGATGCTGAAGGGGGAGGGGAGAAGGGGGCTCTCCAGGGATCCTGGATGTGCCCCGAGCAGGGGCTGTGGCAGTGGGTGCTGATGGGGGGCAGGCAGAGCCCTGCCTGCATCCCCCGGCCCATCGGGGCACGCAACAGCTCTCTGCCCCGGGGCTCTGTCCACGCCAAATCCCAAGCCAGAGACTCCAGGGGATGGGCATAGGGAGGGGGGGGAGAGACCCACACGGGATGCCCTGCCTCCCAGTCCAGCCCCAGTCCCGTTACTGGGACCAGCGCAAGAAGCAGAGAGAGGGAGCACCAGTCCCTTGCCCCGTCTCCATGCATGGGGTTGTGCCACAAGAGGGCATGGGGAGACCGGAGCTACTCCCAGGACCAGGCTTTTCCCTGGGATGGGAGCAACAGATCTGTCCTGAGAAGGTGGAAAAGGTCCGACGAGGCTGAGCTCTGTTGGGCAAGGGCTGGCTGAGCCTCCTCTTGTGTCCCGAGGGGAAAAAAAAGGCTGCAGGAACGAAGGAGGCTGCTTCTTGCCTTGCACAGATGTCCACGCAAAGGGCACTGCCCAGGTTTGTCCAGGGTTTATCCCAACTTTTCCCCCAGGGAACAGCTCAGCACCTCCTTCTCCTCCCATAGGCTCCAGCAGAGCATCCCCATCGCTGCCGAGAAGGACTGAGAAGGACATGGCCACAGCAGAGGTGGCACAGGTGAGGGAAACGCTCTCCTTCAGGGTGGGCAAGTGCATTTTGGCTGACCTGAAACATCGGTGCCAGTCCAATGGGGCTGTACAAACTGCTCTGTGACCGTAGCTGTACGTTATCACCTTCCTACAACTCCTTTTGGACCAAGAGGTCCCCATGTACTGGCAGCAGATGGTCAGGGTGCAGGAGAGGTGGTGAGGAGCAGAGGATGGAGACCTTGGCGGGCATGCTACAAGGCTGAGCCTCGGCTACCAGATGCCCATCTCAGAAACACAAGGAAGGTGGCAAGTCACAGCAGGGCACAGGGTTTTGTGTCTCCAAGTGACAGGAAAAGGCACAGAGGATAGGGTGGAGAGGTTGAGCCCAGCCTTTCAGCTCCATCAACCCTGTCAGGCATTTCTGGGGCTTTAACAGCCCTCAGTATTTTCTAGGTTTTTTTTCCCCTCCCCATAAGCTTAGCCAGCTGCTTTCTGAAGCTTTAGCATCTCTGATGTCCTGTGGCTTTCCACAGCTTAACTACACCCCATGGGGAACAATACCTTGGTGTCTCTGATCCTTGCCAGCATCTTTTGAGACTCTCCTACAGCTCTGCTGGACGTAGCCTTGGCTCCTCTCCCTGCTGCCTTGAGCTGACCCACAGTGGCAGGTGCTGAGCTGGGAAATCTTTGTTGTTTTAGTGTCCAGTGACCTTCAAGGAGGTGGCTCGGTACTTCACCGATCCCGGCCAGCGTGCCCAGTACCGGGAAGCCATGCAGGAGAGTGCTGGAAATGACTCCTCTTTGGGTAAGGATGCACCTTCCCTCCTCCCTGGGCTAAGTCTTGGGGCTGGGTGGGCTCGGAGGATGCTCCTCTAGACTTTGGAGGTGAAGGAGTCTTTCCCCATTGCTTCTGGCAATTGTGCTTCCCCCTTGGGACACATATTGGGGACACACAGCACCCTCCATCCCCATCTTCTTCAGAGGAGCACATGCTCTACCATGTCAGACCAACAGTCCATCTGTCCCCATGTTCTCTCCAGCCGTGGTGGAAGGAGATGCGATGTAAGAGAACAAGGAGAGAGACCTTTCTCAGCTATGCCCAGCCGTTACATCGTCCTCTCTCCAGCAGAGCCCCCAAATCTCGTAGTAGCTCCTCAAATGCACCCAGAGCTCTGCACTGTCTCAGGAACCAGATCTGCTGACCCTCAACCTGACAGGATCTCCTCTGACCTGGAGTTGGAGGAGAAGACGTGGATCCCAGCTCCCCAGGACTCAGATGCAAGGCCCTTCTCTAAAAACTCTTCCACAAGTGAGGAACCGGCTTAAATAACCTTGAAAGCATCTAGGACAAAAGCAAAACACCTGGGACTTCTACTCAGGCCCTAAGACACCCACCCTGAGCTCAGTATCTTCTAGGAGAGCGGTCCCAGAACCTCTCCTGGTCCCTTGGGAGATGTTGCCTCCAGATGCACATTGGAGGGGAACTTTCAGCCCATGGGAAACAAAGGCAGATGCTCTCCTTTTGGGTTACAGAGGGTTTTAAGAGCTGAGGTTTGAAGTTGAACTTCAGCCCAAGCTTCGCCAGCGGTCCAATGGTCAGTGTTTGGGCTTGGGCTAAAGGTGAAGCTTACATGAGCTTTCTTCTTTCTTGGCTTTCCTCCTTCCATTTTTATCCTGCCCTGCTTCATCGGTGGGTTCCCTTTCCCATCCCAACCAAGGACTGACTCTTCATGATCTCTTTCTCTTTCCTCTGCAGAGGATGGAATAGTGAATGGGATGAGGGACAGCACCTCACAAGCAGGCCCAAGCATCGAGACCTGCCTGGAGAACATCTCCCAGCCCCATGAGCCAACCAACATCCACCAGAACTCCCAAGAGGAGGTCCAGGATCACCCTGGGAGGGAAACTCCAGGGACATGCAAGGAATTGCTGTTCCCTCATAGCCTTCACCCCAGGGATAGACCCATTCCTCATCCCACCAGCGAGAGAAGCTTCCATCCCCGGAGACGAGGGTCCCAGCACCCCTGCCCTGACTGTGGAAAAAGCTTTGGGGTCTTCTTTACAAACAGAGAAGGACTGGTGGG